TCTGATAAAAAATTTGATGATAGATGGGACGATATGTTTATAATAAAACTGAGTCTAAATAAACATCGTTGTAGTTGCAGTAATTTAAAGATTATGTGTTCGAGTATGTTTAAATTTCCTGGAGATAAAAATACATATCAATAGTTTAGAAAAATGCTTAAAAAATCACCAGGAAAGCATGGGTTATTAATTTAAAACCATATCCTTGTTTCTTAAATAACGTGAAACTTCTATATATATACACTATATTGGAAATGAATCATGTGAAACACCACATGGTTAAAAGGTCAAGTTGAAATTGGAGAAGCATCATCCCCATACTAGATATACAAGAAACAAAGCTGTACTGAAAATTTAATGTTAAGATTCATTTGAATAAACAAAGCATCACATGGTTAATTACCATTAGGTAGACATTTTATCTACCGGATTTTGACCTTTCATTTTTTATTTTATTTTTTTTGGCGATTAAGGTGAAGTAGATGAAAATATCTACCAATATATCTCCTTAGCATCATGTTTCTATTAGTACAGTGTCTGCTGGGATGCCATGGCTCTATTTTATTTTTATTTTTTTTAATAATCTTGGGTATATTACATAGTAGTATATGTTCATAGATAACTTTCACCCTTTTAATATTCGACATCTATAGTGCTCGAACATTGTTCTTCAAAGAATAACAATATTTTTTTACTACAGAGTCCACTTTTAATTTACTCTTTCTTTTATTTCACTCGTTGTACTTTTAAATTTTTCAATTTACTCACTTAATTTTATAATTGTTCATGTTTTAGTTACTCTAAATTATTTTATTATTGTTTTAATATGACATGACAATTTTTATTATTAAAATATATAAATAATTTAAAATAAATTATAAAATAATATTTTATTATTACTAAATTTAAAAACATTTAAAACAATCACCACCCACCGTCGATCACCATTAATCACTGCCATCCTTTGAAATTGACAACCGTTTGATCCCAAATTTTATGGGTCATTGCCCCCACTTTTGAGTCTGAATCTGGTGATTGTTTTACGGAAAACTGCTACAAAACCCATGAATCTCAATTGAAACATTTTGGTTTCCTCATTTTTGATCTCATATTCATGGACTTTGGAGCATATTCCGACCAAATGGAGGTCGGATTCGAACTCAAAAGGTCGAGGCAAAGTCACATGAAACTTGGGACCGAACGACCACCATCTACGGTGGTCGACGACGACCAACCTTTTGGTTTTCTCATTTTTTTATTAGATTCGAAGCATGTTCCAACAAAATAGAGATTGGATTCAAACTCAAGGGTCGAGACGAAGTGGCCGATAAAATCTGGGATGAAATGACCACCATCTACGATTGTCGATGTTGACATCTAACGCCGACGAGTAGTGGATGGCCATATTCTATTTTTATTTTACATTTTAAATTATTTTTATATTAAATAAAAATGCCACATCATATCAAAATAATAATAAAATAATTCAAAATGATCAAAATATAAGCAATTCAAAAGTGTAGTGAGTAAATTGGAAAAAATAAAAATACTATAGTGAAATAAAAGAGAGTATAAATTTCAGTGAAGAATGATATATTTTACCCTTATAAATATATGTATGAGAATGATTCTTTAAACTACGTGAAACTAAGAGAATTTTAATCCTCTTAATTTATAAATCTTGGGTAACTAACTTCCTAAAAATAATCCCTTAATATTTGCATTACTAAGATACATATATTGCCGCTCTATTAGATGATGTACAGGGATGGAGCCCGGATTTTAGTTAATGGGGCAAAGTATAATTAACAATATAAAATAGGGGAAATCAAACTTAATTAAAATTTAAAGGTCTAAATTGATAATTATCCATATTTTTTTAATGGTAAAAAATTTTGTAGGGTAGTGGCCCCGGGGGCCTACGTGGCCCCGGATGGCTCCATCACTAATGATGTAGTTTATTGAAATCGTTAATTTTATCATATATTCTCAAAGTATGATCATCATTTTAAATTAGTCCTTAAACTTTTAGATATTTTAATTTCATCCCTAAACTATAATTATTATTCTAAATTAGTCATCAAACTTTTTAAAAATTCCAATTTCATCCCAAACTATATGTATATACTAATCACGCCCATTGTTAATAAAATCATTAGTCCAAGTTATATTATTATATGTTTGAAAAAACAAAAAATTAGGTTAAAATGCGGTTGAAAAAACTACATGTTTAGATGAATTTGAGGATGAAATTAAAATCTTCAAAAGTTTGGGGACTAATTTAGAAAGAGGTTTATAGTTTATGGGTGAAATTAGAATATTCAAAAAGTTTAAGAACTAATTTAGAATGAGAATCATAGTTTGTAGATGAATTTAAAATATTCAAAAGTTTAATGACCATTTTAAAATAAGGGTTATAATTTGGGGACATATAATAGAATTAACTCTAAATAAAATGATATGTTTAACGACAATGACTCTGCCGATTTGTTTTTAAAATTGACCAAAATATAAACACACTAAAAGTTCAGAAACCAAGATTATAGTTTACCCTATCATTAAATTTCAGTGAAGAATCCAAATGAAAAAAATGACCGCCACGTATTTAGTAACTACAAGTCTATACCGATGCGTTATTAACTGGAACTATGGGTTAGCTGTATTTTGGATGCAATACATTTACTCTCGAACATAACTGCATGCATGTTTTTTACTTTTAATTTTTTGTGCATACTCCTTGCCCTATTTAATCTCATAGAACTGCCTCTATCTGCCCATAATTGAAATTGTTTGAGAAAAGAAAGTGGTTTTATCGCCTGAGTTCGTTTCCATGGGGAAAAAAGAGTGGAGGTACACAGTAAGGATTACGTAGACCCCCCACCATCTCCATTGTTGGACATGGAAGAGCTTAAGAGATGGTCTTTTTACAGAGCTGTCCTTGCCGAGTTTGTTGCTACTCTTTTATTCCTTTACGTATTAGTTGCCACTGTTATTGGTTACAAAAGGCAAACAAGTCCCTCTGACGGAGTCGGTCCCCTTGATATTTCTTGGGCTGTTGGCGGCATGATCTTCGTCCTCGTCTACTGCACCGCCTGCATATCTGGTAACCGGAAAAACGTTAATTCACTCAAACAATTGCATGGTTACGTTAATGGTTATTAGATGTTAAACAAGTGGTCACATTAATCCTGCAGTGACGCTGGGGCTGTTCGCGGCGAGGAAGGTTTTGTTGGTTCGAGCGGTGGCGTACATGGTGGCTCAGTGTTTGGGAGCTATTCTTGGTGTAGGTTTAGCTAAGTCTGTCATGAAGCACCACTACGATGCATTAGGGGATGGTGTAACAAAACACATGTTCACGAATTGTCCGGTTTGGATGAAATTCTAACATCCACGTCAACCCATTAAGGTTAGGTCGGAAAGTGAAAGATATATGTAACAGTCGTAAAACATAAACCTTTTTCTTGTTTGAAAAAAAAACATTACAAACGGTACATTCAGAGATGGATTGAGGACTGATGGATGGTCTATTCTTCTGAAAATCTTAATTTTTCATATAATACAAATATTTTTTTATTTTTATTAATAATTTATTTTAGTCTCATAAAATTTTATAAGTTCTTCCTTAATATAAAATGTCATTTATATCTAAGTACATCAATTTCAACCTAACGTAAAACAATATAATTATGATAAAAAAATTGATGATAGATGGGATGATATGTTTATAATATAACTGAGTCTAAATAAACATCGTTGTAGTTGCAGTAATTTAAAGATTATGTGTTCGAGTATGTTTAAATTTCCTGGAGATAAAAATACTTATCAATAGTTTAGAAAAATGTTTAAAAAATCACCAGGAAAACATGGGTTATTAATTTAAAACCATATCCTTGTTTCTTAAATAACGTGAAACTTCTATATATATACACTATATTGGAAATGAATCATGTGAAACACCACATGGTTAAAGGGTCAAGTTGAAATTGGAGAAGCATCATCCCCATACTAGATATACAAGAAACAAAGCTGTACTGAAAATTTAATGTTAAGATTCATTTGAATAAACAAAGCATCACATGGTTAATTACCATTAGGTGGACATTTTATCTACCGGATTTTGACCTTTCATTTTTTATTTTATTTTTTTGGCGAGTAAGGTGAAGTAGATGAAAATATCTACCAATATATCTCCTTAGCATCATGTTTCTATTAGTACAGTATCTGCTGGGATGGCCATGGCTCTATTTTATTTATTTATTTATTTAATAAAATTGGGTATATTACATGGTAACATATGTTCAAATATAACTTTCAGCCTTTCAACATTGAACGCTCACACCTCTGACAACTATAATGCTCGAACATTGTTCTTCAAAGAATAACAACAATTTTTTACTACGGAGTCCACTTTGGTTCGCCATGGCTCTAATTATAAATGTATATTATATCAACATTTTCAGTGAGGTAGCTGGCTGGCTATCCAGTACCTTCATAACTTGGTTTGTTTATGTGTCTGCAATTTACTCGCAAACACGCGCTCGCATATATATACTTGATTATTTATTATATCCAATCTTAGCCTTCACTTTCAGCTGTTTTATCAATTTTTTAAGATGATTCAAATTGTTCTATGAAGCAATAAAGATCCTACATTTTGATAAATGAGACACAGAAACTAGCTCTCAAAAATAGTTTCAGGGTTCATATATCATCCACCTTTCCATGGTTGATATCTTGATAAAGTTCGGACCTAATGATATCGTCCGTTACACGATCCATTTGCGTCTAATGAAGCTGTAAGAACAATACAACACTTGTTGCTCTGATTCTTTGCTAAGCAGCAATCTGCAGATAATAATGGAATTCTATATCCAGATTTAATACACTTTCCAAAAGGAAATACCTACGCCCAGAACGGAAGGAAACAATATTCAATAAAAAGATGGGCAATTACAAGTTTGAAAAAGGTGTAAATGAAAAGCTAACAAAGGGCTAATCGAGTACGATCTTAGATTGGCAGAACAGGCAAGCATTGATTTGATGAATAAATAAGAACATAAAGAACTCATCTAATCGTATAATTTACAAAAAATGTCGTTACAGATCCCTTCTGCATAAAGGACAAGAAGCATGACTAAGAAGCCACTTATCTATGCAAGGAAGGTGGAACATGTGATGGCACTGCGGCAAGCTCCGAACCGTTTCTCCAAGCTGAAAGTCCTGCATAAAAGATCAAAGAGAAATCAAAACGTAAATTGGATACCGCTTCTAGGTTACTAGTTTTAAAATCGAAAAATTTATATCATATTTGGTTGGACTGGACCTGAAGGCAAACTGTGCAGGAAACTTTCTCCCCAGAAGCATCGACTATGTTATTTTTGGTGATTATGATCTTTGGGATTTTTTCCACCAAATCTCCGGCCAAACCTTTAACACCACCAGTGTCGAAGATGTTCTGTACTTCCTCGAAAGATGTTTCAGCAGCTCCCATCTGATAACAGAAACTTAATATCATTAGCAAACTGCCTCACTCTGTGGCAAACAAACCACTATCCTTTGCGTATTACCTGACTTTGGACCGCACTCAGCATTGCCGGACCGATTCGTTCCCGGACAAGTCTCCCGGTTAGAAGGCTTGCAATGACATCAATCTGTACAAGATGCAATGACATCAATTCGTTTCATTGACGTAGAAACTAGCAACCAAATCAAAACAGAAAAATCATGATACCAAACAAAACTGCTCACCAAATAAAGCAAACATCTGATCCCGGATTCATCGGATTGCCAGAGAACAAGAGATGATTCGAAAACTTCGATAGAAAAAACTGCTCCAGAAATAGCCCCAACAGCAGCACCTCGAACGAATCCACTCTCGGTCTCTTGTCCTATCAAAGCACCAGTCATGGCCCCTAAGAGGGTGCCCACTGCACACAAAATGTCGATCTCTTCACCAATATTTGAGTACATAAAGATTAATCTGAGCCTCAAGCATTAATTATAAGAAACCAAACAACATTGTCATTAATTCTAGGATTTTTTAGGAAATAAATGTAAGGACAAATCAATCCAAAAACTGCTTTGTCTGCAAGCAAAACACTTCATAGTATTGCAAGCCAAGAAAATTAGAACAACAACGTAATTAGAACAGCAAAGCAGAAGTATGAGAAAATACAATGAGAGTAAAAAGGAGGTGGAATTTAACTTATTGTAAAACCAACATCAAGGGACATGAATAGATGAAGAATCAAATGGCTTTGATGGAAAATAAAATCATAAAAACTAGATCTACAATAAAAAAAAGCTTTGATTGAATTAATGGACAATAAAAGAGAAACTGACCTAATGCAAAGAAGAAGGTTAAGATCGCAGAGAAAATGTTGCCAATAATGGCAGAAAGGGTGAAACTGCAAAAATCTTTAATCTTTTCAATGAAATCTCCAAACAAAGAAGGTGAAGACCAAGATAAACGTGATGGGTATTCATGAAATTCCATTCCTTCTTCACTTTCTTTCAATGAAATCTACAGATGCAGGTATTAGAGAACAAAGAAGACTATATAGAAGAGCACAGGGTTATGGATGCTTAGTGGTTAAGAGAAGAAAAGAGAGAGCACATCAACCAACTCGCATTTAAAGCTTGATTTTCTTTGTTGGAGCCCTCTCTCTTTCTCTCCCAGTTTTCTTTGCAAGCATGAAATTTTCGGGCTTCGATGAAAGAGAACGAAAATGTGCCCCCTCCTTTCTCTCTATTTGTGTTTCCGTTTAGTACACCAAAAGGCAATTTTATATTAAAAATCTTAAATAAATAATTATTTAAATAAATAAGGTCCTCTAGAAATTATTTAGAAGAATAACCTCCAAATCATCCACGTCGAACGATCTCGTGGTCTGTAAACAACGTATTAAATTCTCGTACCCTCTAACATAAAAGATACATTTGACGTGGGTGCACTTTCTAAGTAAGTCAATAAAAAAATTAGATAAAATAGTCTCGTGCATTACGAAGCGTGAGGTAACATTTATGATCCAAAATATTGCGAAATTTATGGGAGACCTCATAGCCTGCAAAACACGAGGACAATAGATTTCATACCCTTCCTTTAGTGTCCATAACCTTGTTCGGATACTATTTCCGGGTGGGAAACTGATTTTTTTATTTTTTTTAATTATAAACGCGTAGTGTTGCAATTTATCTTTAAGGTGACAATAATATCATCATATATAAGACATTTTAAGCGGGGTAAAAATGTAGTTGAAAATGTTTAAAACCATGGTTTTGTGATGGATGAAGAAAAAAAATAATCTGATAGACATATTAAAGTGTTATTTCTGGCTTGTAAATATGAGTGATTTCAGAATTTATATGCTTAGAGGTATAGTATTGCAACTTATATTTATGTTAAGTCTAATTTGGCCACATACGAGATATTTTAATAGGGGTAAAAATTGTGTTGGAAAAGGTTGGAATGCATGAAGAAATAAAAAAATTGAAACTAAGTAATATGTGTTGTTAATTAAAAAAGAAATAATACAAAAGCCCATTTAATTAATACGTGGGCATAAGCGATTGGGACATTAGCTCTTCGTGTGTCACGGATTCCTACATATATAGTATAATTTCGATTGGCCGATTCTTTCTTGATGTTCGACTAAATCCTCGCTACAAAAATATGGGTTGACTATGGACGACCAATTGTTTTCGTCGTAGTGCATAATCTGGCCGTATTGTAGGTTCATTATCAGCTTCATTTGGATCTCATTCATTTCCAATATGAGGGAACTCGTATTCATAAACCTTGAATATAGTTTCAAGTAAGTAAACTTGATGAACGAATCTCATGTAGGGTATTCGAACAGAAGAAGTAGCAATAATGATGTGCGCACACGGGTTGAAAGTTTGGAAGAATTTTCACTCGCATGGTTTTTCTCGTAAATTAACCATGTATGTGTTGTGTTGTATGCCTTCCAATGGTCTCGTAAATTATGATACACGGAATAATGACATTTCGCGAGAGAAGCATATGACACTTATAGTGTTGGAATGCTGCTGTAATGTTTATAATTTTCTAAGGAGATCTGGGTGGATTTGGTGGCCACCTGCCATCCAGTCAGTTGCTTGCATTCCCAAGGTTTCAAAAGGGTTACCAATCGATAATATATCGCTTTGACAATGGACGTGATAGGCAAATAACGCACTCCCTTTAATGATGAATTTATTGTCTCAGCCAAGTTTGTTCTCATATGACCATACTGTCTGCCCCCATCAAATGATCGAAGTCATTTCTCCTTCGGGATTCTAGCAAGGTAGTTGAAGCCCTCAGAATTCATGTGCCTCAGTTCCTGCATCACATCCTCAAACTCACATACGGACTATGTGTAACCCATCAATAAAAAGTGGAACAATTAATTTGAAATAATTTTTGTAAAGATATGGTAAACCGAAAAGAGTGAAAGACGTACCCATTTGAAGCACCATTAGACGCTCATATTGACTCTTGAACTTCTGTAAATAGTTTGCGGAAATATGTCGTAAATAGTACCGGTGATAAATATTAGGGTGTTGGCAAGACGGGCCCATACGCTGGAGTGTGTATTTGATATCAATGTCACTATCAGAAATAAGACAAATCTCATCTCACTATCAGAAATAAGACAAATCTCATCATCTATATCTTGCATCACATATGATAGAACATATGTTTGTAAGTTCGTAAGGAAGGATTTCCAAGAGTAGATATCTTCTTTTTTGACAATTCCAAAGGTGATGATAATAGTTTTTCTGTTGTCGTCTTGTGCAACCATCAATAAAATTATTTGAGTGTATCGACCATATAACCAAGTGTCGTCGAATTGAACAATCGGCTTCCAATATCGAAATACATTAATGCATTGTGGAAAAGTCCAAAAAACCGGTAGAATTCGCAGACACCTTGTACAACACGATCACTTTTGTACGTCGGGACTGTTTATAATTTCATAACTGTTCTTGGAATGTGTTTCTGCATCAGTTTAAGTCATGGTCGCAATTCATTGTATGATTCCTCCTATTAGTTGAATAATTTTTGTTGGGCCCGATACCTTGTATACCATGCTTTATGGTAGTCAACTTTGTACCCGTATAACGATGTAACTGAAGCAATATAGGTCGCAACTGTAACACGTGGATTTGATTTGAGCAACGAAATGAAGGCTTCAGAAAGAACGTGCACATCCAAGTTACGATGATCTTGTTTAGGATGTTGGTGGTGCATGTATGTGGTTGGACGTATTTTGTGAGTTTTCAAAGGTTGTTCATCGTCTTAAACCGTGATACACGAACCCTTCAATTACATCCCTACTTTTTGTGGAGACATTCAGTGATGTACTTATTCGCATCAGTTTTTTTCACAATTGACGTGATAGAACGACGTATGTTATAGTTCTTGATTGCAACCACAACTTGTTCTTTTGTCCTAAAACTCATTCGTAAAAAAGTAAATAAAATTGTCAACTTACCAATAAACAAATAAAAATAAATAATGAAAATTACAAAATTATATTAACCTGAAAATCATTCCAACATAGAGATCACCATCACTACGTTAATTGTATTGCTCAATGTGTGGGAATTGAGAAAATTCTGGAGCGTTAAATGTTTTTATATCAATTGTTGTAAAGTGTGATGTTGGCTGATAATAAGAAATAGGCATTGCAGCATGTGGAACTATTGTAGTCGCGTCGTATTCTTCGTTGTCTTCTGCTTCTAATGGCATGTCAAGGTCTTCTGGCTCTTTATAGAATGGGCCTAACTCATCACCATCGGGGTCGGACTCCCTTATTGATTATTTGTCAGAATGATTCCCCTTAAAATGGAATAGTTCAACCTTGTTTAAATCAAAGTTAACTGTTGCTACAGGTATTCATCGATCATGATATCACTCATAAACCGGTTCCTTAAGATCAACGTCACACACATCAGTAAAAGAATGTCTCCCATATGTGTTGAGACGTTATTCGCAGAAGGGATCTACGTTGAATATCTTCCATATGAGAAATCATAGAACGGGTTAAACATGGATTGTTGCATTGATGGCATGTTCAAGTCAAACTCGAATCTAGCAACGCAAGAATAACTTTGCATCGAAGACGATGATGCACCCAATTCATTCTGTGTACCGTGTGTGCTTAATAAAATGAAGTTGTTTCTCAAATTTACCATCGGACTACCAACAGTTGGATCAAATTTGAACTTTGCTCGTCTCCAACTTGACACATTAGTACCATCGTCGGCAATAGAAAACAACGCATACAACTCCCTCGGCCCTCCAAATGAATATTGCAAGTGAGCGTCGAGCATCATATGCACATCATCATTGTCTTTAACGGTGTATATCGTGTACGTTAATGGTTCTAACGACGTCGGTAGTCGATACTTCAAGGGTAACAATCTTGTATCGTGAGCATGTGAGACATTTTTCTTCACTTCCTTCATCAACTTGTTATACATTAACTTCGTTGGTAGCGTTATTGTCGAAGTGTATGCGGACTAAAACACGACACCGAGAGATGCATCACCAATCATTTCACCATCGTAATATACCAAAGCAGTAAAGCTTTATCTCCTCGACATTTTAGCTGAGTTGTTACCTGATAATACTGAATTGCGGTTGTTTTATTGTCAAGAACCTCGTAGGTTACAAGACACGATTTCCAAATAACGCGAGTTACAGGGTGTGAGATCCCGATATCTCGTGTTTTGCAAGATGTGTGGTTCTGCTAACGTACTATAGATATCGCGGGATGCAGGGTGCGATTCTCACTGAAAATATTTTGATTAACTCAAAATAAAATAGTTTAGTACAAATATTTCAGTTTTGAAGAACGAAATAAATAACTGCTAATAATGCCTATGTCCACCAGTTTCGCACCGTGGTAGACGATGAGTCCGACGTAGACGTAATTGCGGTTCATATCCCTATGAAATATAAATATTAAAAATTTATTTAAATACCAAAACAAATAAACTAAATAAATAAATAAATAGTAAAAATACAAAATAACATTAATTAATTTACCTCATCATTTTGCCTCCAATAATCAAATACGTAACTTCGATCATGTCTAATAGACTAGCCGTCATGATATGAAATCTTTGAATCTTTGAATATATGAAAGGGATGGGTGTGGTGATGAATAAGAGTGGAGGTCCCTATTTATAACACTTCTCACACTCGGGGAAGCACAGTCTTAAATGCAACTCGCATCTTGCAAGATGCGAGTTACGTTGAAAACACGCAGAATTTATTCCGTTCACAGTACCTCACGATTTGCAAGATGCGAGATTACTACCAGCTTTTATCTTTTAAATTTCAAAATATATTATAATTATAAAATTATTAATTATTAATTATATTTAATATTTTACACGTATAATTTTTCATTATTTCAAAATTTACAAAATATATTATAATTATTTTTTATAAAATATCTATTTTAATTACTATATTTATATATTATTATATTTTAATTATTTATTATATTTAATATTTAATATTATTAATTAATATTATTATATTTAATTATTATATTCATTTAATTTCTACATTTCAAATTAGGTTGTTATACAGAATTCGAAAGAACCTCGAGCTTTGCAGGCACCGATGTTCCCCATAAATCTCACGATATTTTGGATCATAAAGGCTACCTCGTGCTTCGCAATGCAAGATGTCATTTTATCCAATTGTTTTATTGGCTTACCTGGAAAATG